AACCTACTGATCTCCCAACCGTGGCATTTACAACGTACTGATCTCCCAACCGTGGCTATCCCAACCTACTGATCTCCCAACCTTGGCTATCAGAACCTACTGATCTCCCAACCGTGGCTATTCCAACCTACTGATCTTTCAACCTTGGCTATCCCAACCAACTGATCTTCCAACCGTGGCTATCCCAACCTACTGATCTTCCAACCGTGGCTATCCCAACCTATTGATCTCCCAACCGTGGCTATTCCAACCTACTGATCTCCCAACCATGGCTATCTCAACCTACTGATGTCCCAACCTACTGATATCTCTACTTACGTGTCTCCAACCCTTGAATATCCCAATCTATTGATGCCAACTGCAGTTATTGCAACATGGTACAATTGCTAAAACTACAGTATATGTATTGGAGACCATGGTATATGTACTTACTTTCATATCAACATCAATTGAAAGACGAATATCAAAGGATGCAGTGAAATCAACAGGCACCACATTGTGCGCAATGCCTCCCTGCAATGAAAAAAAAATTAATGTAAAAGCATTTATTTTCAATATTTTGTTTGAAACTTCCAGATTTTTCAGTAAAAGCCTGAGTTGTTTTAATTTTACATGTTCAAGTCAAATTAACTCAGAGAAAGTAAGCAAACATCACATGAATTTGTTACTGCAATAAAATTATTATTATAATAGCATTTCCATATGTGCTACTGATAATAGTCATAGCAATTTGTCACGGGGTCCTTTCTCAGTAGCTTAACTTTAATTGTACATGTTGGAGTGTATATTTTTACAGTTTAATTATTTTGACCATAGAATTGCGCTGTATTTGACACTGTAATGGGTGTAACTAACCCATCCGAAAATGAAACCTTCCTGAATAAATTACTAGTAACTTGTCACATGGTGTAAAACAATGGGATCACTTCTCCCTGCTGCCTGTCACAGTTAACATCTTGAGAAGTTTGTTAGTAGCTCCTGATACTTTGGGTTGGAAACCCCATGGCCAACTGCATGTGCTTCAACTATTGTATCCTACATGGTGACGTCACTGAGTCTCCATAGTCGTGCTGCAACTTATTTGTCAAACCGTCATCGGGACATAATTCCTAGGAGATTGTCAAACCACCATCGTGACATTAAATCGTGCGATACAACGAACACTGTGCATGGAACTGAGTCAACTACAGAGGCTACTTATATATATCAATACCAATATACCTACATTATTTATATTGTTTATTTTGGGGTAAAGAACCCAACCACAAGGTCAGTGACAGTACTTTATTTTGGCCATTGTATTTTTGTATTACGTTTGGCGATTCTACCACACCATAGTACTTCACCGTATAATTTGAGACACAATTCAAGCTAACTTACCTGTAGTTTGGTTAGATTCACAGTTGTTACATCACCAAGGCGAAGATCAACATTTTTCTCAAGCCTATATGGAAAAAACACAGTTATTAGTTGATGATTAACTTATCATTCTGAATTTATTTTCCTTTTACGAAAATTTCAATTATGCCTGACTTGGCCACATGTGAATCATAACAAGATTGTACATGCAGTCTGGTCATTTTGATCTGGTGATATAACCCTACATTAATTGTCAACAGTGATGCAAGATTTTGAAAACACAATCTCTTGACAAACAAGTCTAAATTAAATTATAGCAATTTTTAGTTGTTTTGAAGAAACTTCTGAATCAGATCAACATTTAACTGCAAATATCAATTATTGCAAATATTATATTACCCATGCACTGACCACTCACAAATGAGCACATATTTTAAGTTTCATTTAAAGACATTCAAAGTATTAAATTTACCATACACATTTTATTGTTAAGCTTAGTTTATTACTTCATTCACCAATATCTCACAATTTCCCCTCAAAACAATATGAAACAAGTCATTGTCAATGACACATCCCCGTTCCGTTCATATTTGAGTGACATATACATTCAAAGTAGATCATGACCGGAGTCTCAGACCACTTCCAGTGGTCTGATCCGAAATGCACCTGCATATGTACAACACATTGTATGATGTGTGTGAAGTGTGGTCTTGATCTGTCCAGGCATGTCCGAGATATCCATCGAAAACTAAATTCTTTAAAACAAAATGGCCGCCAGTCGGCCATTTCGAACTTGATCCGGAAAAAAAAATGACGTGCATCAAGGTCCTATTATGTTTAATATATGCACTAAATCTGAACAAAATCCATCCATGCATGACTGAGATCCGGTTCCGGAATTGTGAAAATACGTGATTTTGATGCATTTTCGGCCTTAAAATGGCCATCATTCAGCTATTGTTAAGCGGATCATGAAACAAATGCACATATCTATTTGTGACATAATGTACCATGTGTGTGTGAAGTTTGAACTCGATCAATCCAGGCATGTCTCAGATACGAATCCAGAACTGAATTCTTTAAAACAAAATGGCCACCAGTCAACCATTTCAAACTCGATCCCCCCCAAAAAAAGATGTGCATCAAGGTCCTGTTATGTTTAATGTATGTACCAAATTTGAACAAAATCCATCCATGCATAACTGAGATCCGGGTCCGGAATGGTGAAAATGTGCGATTTTGATGCATTTTCGGCCTTAAAATGGCGGTTATTCGGCTATCGTTAATGGGATCATGAAAAAAATGCATGTGCATATGTCCCATGTAATATGTGATGTATGAGTGAAGTTTAAACTTAATAAGTCCATGCATGTTTGAGATACAGGTGATCACGGACGCACAGACGCACGGATGCACACAGGGCAAACCATAAGTCCCCATTTTCGGACTACGTCCGAACGGGGACTAATTAAAAACACATGCATATACACACCTTTTTTTCTGTTCTTCTCTGAATGCAAGGAATGAGTCAATAACTTTTTGCTGAAACAAATTTAAAGTGAAACAGTTTTATAGATGATGACTTTAACTAATTCACTTCATATACATGTACTATCTCAGACTCAGAGATGGGATTTGCAAATGTGTACCAAGCAAAAAACATGCATATTAATAACCCCCAGCCCACACACATTGAACCATCATAACTCTTATCGACCATAACCACTCACATTACCACGTTTATGCAAAAGGTAATTGATTGTGCACTTCAATCTCTTTGAGACTAATCAGTTCCTAATAATAATAATAATAATAATGCAAAAATCAATTTAATAATAGCGAGAAAAATCTTTGAAAATATTGATGAGCAATATAAACTCACCAACTTCTCAGCAGCTGTGTTTTCAATAAATCTTGAACCATGTCCTGGATTACCAGTACATTTTACATTCACCCCTATAAATATATAAAATGACAGTATAGGATTACCTGCCAACCATAAGTTTAGAATAAATTCTATTCTGAAAACATCTCTCCACAAATTTTCCATTTCACAATTACCGCGTTTTACTTTTGGCTAAAGTCAACTTTAGTCATAACCTGAATTATGTTTCCCGATTTTTATTTCAAATTTCTCCTGCAGCAATGTTTATGTTTATTTGGTCCAAAATGAAGTTATAGAAAAATACTTAAAAATATGCAACATCAACATTTTTGTGGGAAAAACTATGGCCTCTATTGGGTGTACTATACAACACATACATCAAGCATGGTCTCAGCTTGAGAAATTTAACACATAACAAAACGTTTTTTTGTAAAAAACACAAAATGCATGCATTTCAAATACACTTCATTAAAATATTTTACTTACACCAAACTGGTCTCTCGGCATAGAATACTGTAAATGCATCCTCTGGATTGGCAAGACCTGATGAACACATGACAAATTGTATCAATGGTGATTGACAAATAAATATTTTACTTTCAATTTAAAGGTACCAATAATTCAATAATAATAACTTTATTACACTACTAAAAACTTTCAGAGGGTTTTTGTATGGTAAGGAACATAAATACAAGGAAATACAAAAAACATACAATACAAAAGAGATAAAATAAAGTGTTAGTAAAATAAAAGAAAAAATAAATTAATTACTTTCAATCTGTGGTTTTAAAAATTGTGCTCTTCAAATATTTTGCTAAGGTTATATTATTCTCCATAACCTTTTTAAATATGGAATTCACATCCATTGTGTAAATATTTATTGCACACTCATCAAACAGTTTTTTTCTTTGTTCTATATAGCCAGTACAAAATATCAGGAAATGTTTTTCATCTCCTAACGCTTCAGTTCTACATTTTTTACAGTGTCTATTTTCTAATTCTATTTTGGGCTTTGTCTTCTACCTAATTCTATTTCTAAGTTGTGGTCACTCAGATGAAATTTTGAAAGCATTTTCCTGAGGCTGAAATTTGAAATGTTTTGCAAATAATTTTCCATATTATAACTTACTTTGAATAATTTGTATGTTCTCAGTTTTGTTCCCCTGTTTCATTGGTTTCACTGAAATTTAGTTCTTCTCAATGGTGGTTTGGGCATTAAGTGACTAGGTAAATGGAATTTTGATTGGCTCACTGACCCCGAGGAGTAACCAATGTACATGTATGTTGAGACTAGAGCAAGATGGATTCTGATGCATTTTGCCAATTGTTGGCATAACTTGTTGTAGCCACGCAGTACTAAAAGTAAATCCCCAGTAGTGATTAGTTAGTAGAAGCTTATACAGTATTGTATTGCAATTATTCTAATGAATTTCTCACCTTCATCTAAGACATATCCCACATTCATCTCTTTAAACTCAGGTCTCTTTATAAATAAACCCATTCCAAGAGTACCAGTAACTTCTTCATCTAAACAAAATACACTAATGCATATTTATATAAGAATAGTTTATATTGAGTCAGTTGACAATTTTAGTTACAAGCTTGCACCAAATATATTCTTATTAATGTGTATGTGAGACATATATTTGTCACATCTAATTCAGCATCTTGGTTCTTCCACCATGAATACATTTAGAGAGAAAAACTTTTTTGAAAATTAATTTCAGACAATAGTATAAGTGCAATAATTTAACAGGGACTTAACATCATAATTTGTCTTATCACTGGTGCCCTCTACATCTAAGAATTTGACAATGACTTTATAAAATGTACCACTTTCATCTAGCATAATCGCACACACACAAAGGTAAGTCACTTTCTTCAATATGTATTTTTTTTCATGAATTTAGTTGACACTCCAGGACACTTTCCTGTCGCTACTTGTGTTATTTATTGATCACATTGCTGTTTATTTTTTCTGTTTGAAGGTTGCACAAATAATCATGCTTAGTTATGTGACTAATATTTCACATAATAAATAATTCATACTAACCAGGAACAAATGTCATATATATAGTCCTCTGTGGTGTTTCTCCCTTACTTTTCAACCTCCGAATCGCCTCAATATACCTAGCATAGAAAGAAGTGTAAGAATTATGTACATATAAAAGACAGTATTGGGTTTATTGAAAACCGACAGCTAACAAATGATACGATGTATAGAACAAAGGAATTATTAAAAAACATGTATTTACAAACTAGTACCTGTGTAACCACAAGTACACAAATCAATAGCATCATAAAAAATTACACAAGCGATATTGACATGTCATCGCTGCCCATAAGAAATTCTAATTTATTTTTAATTGAAAAGAATGTAGTACTTGGTATGAGATTTACATAATGTCTGAAACAAGATGAAAACAGGTTTATTTTCTCTATTAGTAGCGTTATTAATATTAATTAATATTAAGATTTATATTATTTTGTGGCAGTGTCAATACTAGTAGATTTACTACCATTAAAAAAGCACAAAACTTGGAAAAATCAGATCGCACCAATGCAGGTCAACTGTGTGTGCATAGGAGTGTGTTCACATGGGTATGTATTGATATCCTTACTCCCATTTTAAAAGTGTTTTCAAAGCATCAGAGGAGATGTTATTGCCTCCTGTCATGCCTGCAAAATAGTTATTTCCCAATGCTGAGTGAGGCCAGTGAACTGTTGAGTACTTGAAGCCAAATGAAAGGTGTAGTGAGTTCTCAAATCTGACAGGAAAGCCTGTATTCAAGTCAATGTGCATTTAGACCTGCTGCCACTAGTTGCAACAGAAATATCTTCCCAAACAATATATCTAAAATCTATACCAATATCTAAGTAGGGGAAAGTTTTAAAATAAAATCTTGTTATTTATATACTATTTGCTCAGTTATATTTAGTTACTTTCTGATATGTTGCTAAGGAAGGTATTTGTGACATGTTACCATGAACACATATTCTATTGCAATTATAGTGGTAGGTTAGACATGATTTGACTAATACACTTCAAATACAGCAAATATGTATGATATACATAACATCAAAATGAGACAATGTTGTAGATGCATATATAGTCTGAGGATAAATGGAACATACAACATCATAACAGTAAGTTGTTAGTCAAGTAACTGAGATGGTAATTTACAAAAAATCTTTCTAGAGTATACTCAATAATATTATGTTACAAACGCCATTCGGCTAAATTTAGATGAAAATGCAAAATAACTGAACACAACATTTAACGTTTTATATCTTGCCTTTGTACCAAATTTAACCCAAATCTGTACAATCATAGACCTTAGGTCCATGACACAATCATGTCTCTGTAAAATGAGCAGAACACACAGCAAAAAACAAAATGGCCACCAGTCCACCATTTTGAATCCAATGATGAAAAAAAAAGGTATGCATCTGTAACCCACTATGACTGATGTCAATGCCAAGTTTGAATGAAATCGGCCCAAGAAACGGTTGATGGCCAAATGTTGATTTTTGGTCTTTTTTGGTACAAAAATGGTCGCCAGACAGTCAAAAGTCAGCCAAATCAAAAATAAATTGATGCACACATGTCCTTCATTATGACTAGTCTTTGAAGAAAATCTGTCCAGGTGTCTCTGAGAAATGACGACGGATGCATGGATTGACAGACGGAACCCAAAACATAAGTCCCTGTTTCGGGCTACATCCAACGGGGGTAATAAATGCAGTGATTGTAGATATTGATTCCACTTACTGTATTGCAACACTCTTCATATCCTATATGAATTATGAAAATGAAATACAAGACAATATTATTTTTATAATATCAGACACTTTACAATAAAATCTAAAAGATATATGCTAATGACAATCATTTCCATTACATATTAAACGTGACAATGTTCAATTTCTATGTGTTTTGCAATATGGCTGGTATCTATAGACAGCAGTAATATGTGCTATTATAACTTCTCATTTGTAACCCTAAGTTGATTTTCATGTAATCACACAATATTAAATTTTTTAGATTTTCATTGAGATTATCATGCAGTACATATCGATATACTCATATGACAGTCACTCATTCAAAATAACTACCGTGGTTATATTAGAAAAGTATCAAAATTCATATCAATATGAAAGGAATTCAAAATAATGGAGTGTATTACCTGTGTCCCTCTGCCATAAATGTCACCATTGTCCATTTTCTTGGCTTCAAACGCGTCACATTTCCAGTGCTCCTGTAAAATACCGTATCTCACAGATTATCATATTTTTACCATAGTTACACACCAGTGTGCCCTCTAAGCTAATATGACGTGCTACTTAAACACAAAGATTTCTATGACAAAACTAGTTGTGTTAATTCACTGGCACATTATTGTATGGACTTGTCTGATATGTTAATGGTTAATTTCTTTAAATGCAAGGAAAATAATATGGTCAGTTGACATCATTTCAAACATAAATTTTGTTTTTATAGCGACCATGTTACTCTTTCAGCTCAGTTGACTTTACACTGCATGCTTCACAATTTGCTAACAATTTGTTCATTGCTATATAAATAGTAACTCCTCAATTTCATATGGTGGCACAGATTGCTATAAAAATCATTCAGGCCTTAATTTGGCTCTTACCAAATTCACACAAACATTTCATAGTTAATTTTATAAACAAATTAGACCCGAGGGTAGTCTAGCAGCAGTAAATTATGAGGTTATTACGAGGATACCTCAAAGTATGCATGAAGATAGTATAGCTGGAGTATTGACCGACGCGCATAATAACCTTTATTATTATACATCTTTTCCTTCCAAAGATACAACATTGGGAATGCCGAAATCCAAAATGTTTAGAACAGAATCAGCGAACTTCTTTGTGTGGAGTCCCGTCAAACTCTGGTGGCAAGCAGCCATGTTTGTTTTTATTATTAGAGAACGCTTACGTGCGTAGTCATTCAATATTTGAAATTTTCATTTCCTAACTTATAGCGTTACGGTGACAGGTGTATAATAACATAATTTATACCAAAAATTGTCATGACTCATGAGTATGACAGGTATAAATAATCACTTCTACTCAGTATATCTATAATAATATGCTAGCTGGTTCCAAAGCCTGTTCACATTTTACTAAAGATACATGATAATTAATTATTATAATGCCATCCATACACCAGGCAATATAATAGTAATAAACCATCACCTGGCCATGTATACAACTCTATTTTGTACATTAGCACATACAGACATTCTATAGCTTGTATGTCATGCTTCTGTGCAAAATCTTGCAGTACACCAAGCCAGATGATGGTTGAATAATATTGCTTAAGGTAGCGGGACTATTATTTGCATACTTGTTTTCATCTTCTAATTGTGACTAAATGACTACAAATAGACCCGGGAAAGTATATATTTTTAGAATCGCCAGACTTCAAGCTTTTCACAAGTGTATTTTGCATGCCCGTATCTGCAT